AAAAAAATTGACATTCTGTTCACTATTAAATCGTTATATTAGATTACAAGTAAGGAATACTAACAATTGGAGCATCCATTCTACCCACTATTTCATTGTACGCTTCCGTTAATGAGTCAAGAATCTTTATATTGAGTATTATCCGTTGTTGTTTTTCTATCAAGTTCATTATAATAATTGGTAAATCATGACCTAAGAGATGGAGGTGTAGTGCTGTGTCTATGACAAAAAATAATTCTTTCTGAAAACCATTTTAATCGTTTAGAATAAGTTTTTGTTATTGATTTATGATTTATATTTACATACGTCGAACGTGGAYACGAGTTTATTCCCGTGTAAAGTCCACAAAGCGCATTCAACTAGAGTGCCTTCAATTTTAAGGGCACCGTGCAACCATTTGTTAACTACGTTACTTTTATATTTTAAGACATGTTCGCAAAATTTTCCGTAGACTAATAAYGTCTAATAATAATAAGCATGGCAAGTTGAATAATGTTTAACATTTTTAAAGAAATACGTACTTTGGTTTTTTGAATATGGGGAAATTTTGGTGTTGATTCAACGATTCGAGCAGTCCTTTTCGCTCTTAAAAATAGGTCTTGCACTAAAATGATTTTACCTACCATTGGAGGCACACCAAAAACTAATTGTGAGGATTCTTTTAATGACTGCATGATGAAATAAACGGTGTTTATGATTAACGCGTGTTAATGTTCAACAATAATTATTAATTAACTCACCATAAATTGTGTGTTATAATTGTTAATTTCTACAACGAACTTTTCTAAAATAATCACATACTTTGGACGAAGTTTCTTTATTAGTGTGTGCCGAATCATCATGTTTTCGAAAAACTGCAATACTTTAACATCATTCATTGCACTGTTTGAAATCTTCATCGATTGGCTGATTTTATCATAGACGTTATTTTCAAAAAGATAAAGAAACTTATCCATTATTTTTATCCAAATTTCTTCTCTATTACTATCGTAGACATTGATTTCCAAATCAAAGAAAATACGGGTTATGTAATTTTTAATAAATATTTGGCTTTCCGAGTTATTTTTAAAAATATGACTAACTTCAGGGCTCATCAACATCAGTTCTATAATCTATGTAAATTTTATATAATATAAATCAGGTAGTTAAAAAAWTTTTATCTAAAATATTGATGAATTTAKGTATTTAATTTACCTTCATTATTTTATCTAGATCACGTACAATTAAACGAACAAAATATAATCGATGRAATATTATGTCCTCGTCAAACTCCCAAGCCCATCGCCTGAAATAAATGGAGGATATTGCTTCAATATCCTTTTTACATTTAATATATGTCGCTTCCCATTGGTCCAAAATGTACAATCCGTCTTTGACCAAATCTATAGCTTTAGACGTTTTGTATCTGTATACCAAAAATGATTAATACAAATGTATAAGAATTATATCAAATGAATCACATAATTATCTAAATAACTACCTACATATTCATATATTATAAGTTCAAGCAAAGATAAGTAATCAGAAATTTGGAGCTCAGGTGTTAGTGTTTTTCCTTTCCTGCCACAAAAATTATTTTACTTTTTCTACATAGAAAGAGCATCGAAGCTTTACTACAAGTAATAACATTTATGTTTACCACTAKTAATAACAACTTATATGTTATCAACAATCGACATTGTCGTTATTCTTTCTGGCACATTATGTCATCTTTAAAATKTAGTTTCAAACATAAAGTTCCTACCTAAGTTTATTTATAATCCATTTGACCATTTATTACAAGACAATGAATATTTACAGTTTACCTACACTATTTTTTGTTAGCTTTAGTAGAACTATRCCTACTTACCGAATATCATATCATTATTATCGATATATTTTATTTATAGCCATGGTTTCARCTGGTGTTACAATAATAGAATATTATTAAAAAAACAATTAATAACCAATATAAGGATTTATTAGGAATTTGATTTGTGGAGGGGGATWATATGATTTTAGCAAAATCTATAATCTAAATTATAATAACAATTTCGATGTGACGAAATTTAATACATTTATTAGCGATTGTAATTTTGTATTTAATTTGGACATTTATTTTAGTGCCTTAATAACTTTAATAAGCTCAGTGGATATATCAAAATTATTTGTATTCTATTTTGTAGATATTATTTAGAAAAGTTATTAGATATTAGTGATATTGCAGACATTGCAGTGGTAATGCATTGCACGAGTATTAGGTAGTTATTATATGCTTCTCCCAAATGTTACCAATTGTGATTACCGGAATATTTCGGGTATGTTCAAAGTTATAGAAACTCTATCAGCAATTGAATTTGAAATTGACTCGAGTAAACGTTCCATGTGTTTTTTCCGACTAAACAAACTTGATGTTAACCACATTAGATTTAAATTGTTGTATAGTGGTATGAAGTTTTCTACGATATTTGTAAACTGTGCGTTAATAATTGACTGAAAAGAAAATCATATTATGGTGTGTAAATGGAGGCACCTATAATAGTATTTAAATTRAAAATGTATAATGCAATTTATAAGTACATCAATTCCACCGTGAATCAATTTCATGAAATACATTGTGTTTCTAACAGTAGTATCATACATTATTTGGAAATCGTTTTTTAATTCGTTAAATCTCCTCAACGTATATAAAACAATTTGACTGTTGATAATTTGTTCCAAAATACTTATGCATTTTAGCACCACTTTGTCACTCAATAATTGTTCCAATAT